CACACACACACACACTGCTGAGTGGAGACGCTGGCCATGGGCAATGAGAGCAAGGCTAGACACTATGATCATGCACGCCCATGGGATCATGCCGGAGCACCTGGGCCAGGAGCCAAAGGCAGACCTCGGTGGCCTCTAGGAGTGCCTGGGCGGGGGCACGTTTTAAATTTTCTTAAAATACAGCAAATGAGGCCAGGCACAGTGGCTCATGCCTGTAACCCCAGCATTTTGGGAGGCCGAGGCAAGAGGAGTGTCTGAGACCAGCCTGGGCAATTTGGCGAGATCTTGTCTCTACAATAAATCAAAAAATTTAGCCAGTAACTAGTGCACACCTATATTCCCAGCTGCTTGGTAGGCTGACAGGAGAACCACCTGAATCCACCAGGTCAAGGATGTAGTGGCCACGAGTATGCCACGGCACTCCAGCCTGGGCGACAGAGTGAGACTCTGACAAAACAAACCAAAAAAAATGAAAAGAAAAACAACAGGCATCTGATTAAATAATAGAAACATGCTGCGACACCATTACTCTCCCTCCTTGACCCGGCAAGGCACGCCGAGAGGCAGAGACCATTCCTCCACCTCCTGAGTCTGAGCTGAACTGCAGCAGCTTCAACCAACATAGTACAGTGGCAGTGGCACAGCAGGACTTCTGAGATTGTCACAAGGAGTTTTGCAGCTTCTGTCCAGGTGTCTTGGAAGGCTCGCTCTGAATGGAACCAGCAGCCATGCAAAAAGTCAAGTGACCAGTCCAGGAACCATGGCTCTTTCCTGTAATCTCAGAATTTTGGGAGGCCTGAGTAGGAAGATTGCTTGAGGCCAGGAGTTCAAGACCAGCCTGAGCAACATAGTGAGACCTCATCTCTCTCTTTTTTTTTTTAATTAGAGTCCCACTCCTTCGCCCAGGCTGGAGTGCAGTGGCACACATGCTCATGGCCACCCCAGCAATGACCTGCTGGGCTCCAGTGATCCTTCCGCTTCACCCTTCCAAGTAGCTAGAACTACAGATGCATGCTACCATGCCCAGCAATTTTTTATTTTTTATTGTAGAGACGAGGTCTCGCCAAGTTGTCCGGGCTGGTCTCAAACCCGTGGGCTCAGGCAATCCACTTGCCTCAGCCTCCCAAAGTGCTGGGATTACAGGAGACCTCATCTCTTAAATTTTTTTTTAAAAATTAACCAGATGTGGTGGTGTAGGCATGTCATCCCCGCTACTCAGGAGGCTGAGGTGGGAGGATCACCTGAGTCCAGGAGGTTGAGCCTGCTGTGACCCATGATTGTGCCATTGCATCCCAGCCTGGGCAACAGAGACTCCCATTCAAAAAAAAGTCCAATTCCCCTAAGACCACCATGGTGTGAGGAAGCCCAAGCTGGCCATGTGGAGAGACCACATGGAGAGAGACATGGCTAGCTGCTCCCAGTCATCGAGACTGGATGCCACCATCTGAATAAAGATGACATCACCCTCAGCTTTCACCTGACGCAACTCTCTAGGACCCAAGGCAGGGACAACTTGGCCAAACCCACCCACATCCAGAATGATGGCAGACAATAACCAACTGTTGTCTCGAGCCCCTGTGTGGCTGGTGGTTTGTCTGTGCACAGGTCACCAGAAGATAGTGGGCCCCGCTGTGCCAGAGCCTGAGGGTGAGGTGCAGGGGTGCAGGACCGACCCCTTGCCTTGAGTGCAGTACTGAGGTCATCATTGCGGTTGGAGCTGGAGGAGATGGTCTTTGCACACCTGAGCTCATGTGAACACATTATGTTTAGTCTTTGACATGTTCCATGTCGAATCTACAAAAAACTGCAGTTTGTGTTACTCCATGGCTATGATTTGGGCACTCCATGGCTAGTTGAGGAAGGCGTGAGTCAGTGCAATGGTGGAGGGAGGGGTGTGGCAATGGGAGAGATGTCTCAGGAGGGTCCCCAGTGCAAGACTAGCTTGGGGCCTGCAGTGTGGTGAGCACTGAGCAATGTTGCATACTTGAAGGGAGGAGAGGTGGTGGGGGGAATTCCGCTCTGTGAGGTGGGTCAGTCTCTTCAAGTCTGGACTAATCCTTGCCCTGCCATTGCCACTTCCATGCCACTGACCTGCTGAAGAGGCAGGTCAATGGTCCTGCAGAGGGGCCGTGTCCCAGATTTGGCCGATCGCTCCTGCTGGTGTCCTCTTACTGCGTTTGTTATCTGGAATCCTTGCTATTTCTGCAGGCAGGAGTCACATTTCTGCAGGACAGCACATCCCCAACATAGGAAACTTCAAAGTGCAAACTCTTAAAGATGTGCACGTGTGTTCACATGTCCAATCACATAGTTCACACTTCTGGCATACATTGTCATGGACTGTACTGGCAGATTTAAAATGTTGTCAATACAATAAATCAAAAAATTAGCCGGGCGTGATAGCGCACGCCTGTAATTCCAGCTACTCGGAAGACTGAGGCAAAAGGATCACTGGAGCCCAGCAGGTGGAGGCTGCAGTGGCCGGGAGCAGCCACTGCACTCCAGTCTGGGCGACAGAGTGAGACTCCAACTCAAAATAAAATAAAATGTCTCTATTTTTTATGTTTTTTAATGTATTATTTGTGTGAAAATATCATAAACTTTTATAGAACAGCACTATATAGCCGATGGTGTTGATTGGGAATCTAGGCTGTGTTGGGCTTACGAACGTGCTCTCAGAACTAACCTCACTCAAATGAGACTTCCTGCATTTGTTTGCAATGACCTGCCCACTGTTCCAGACCCAGACCAGCAGCCCCCTGTGCTCCCAGGTACCTGCCTGGACTACTACAACCTTGATGTCATTCTGTTTCGCATCCATCCTCTTTCTGACCCAGTTGTGTCTTGACAGAAGCCACTGGATTATCTCCTCTGGGAGCCAGTCCCTCCCCTGAAAATGCCAGGTTACAGCAAGGCTCGGGTTTGACTTTAGTCTTCAGGCTGCCCCTCAGTTCCACTTCTGGGCATGTACCCAAAGGGAATGGATGGGGGTGTCATAGACACATGGGCACTCCATGCTCACCACAGGCCCATTCACAATAGCCAAGACAGGGAGCCTACCTGGCGCCCTCGGATGGACAGGTGAATAAAGGAAGTATGGTTTATACACACTGTGCACTACTATGCAGCCTTGAAAAAGAAGGAATCCTGCCATTTGTAAAAACAAGATGAACCCAGAGGGCATAATATTAAGCAGAAAAATAAATACCATGGTCTCATTTATATGGGGAATTTTAAAGGCTTGAACTCTTAAAAGGAGAGAATAGAATGGTAGCTGTCAGGGGCTGGGCCTTGGGGTGAGGCGGAGGTGGGCGATGTTGGTCAAAGGATACAAAATTTCCATTAGAAGGGGTATGGTTAACAACAGTGTATCATGTTCTCAAAAATTGTGACAAGTCCATTTTAAGTGTTCTCACCATAATGGCATGTACACAAGACTGCGAATATGTGAATTAGTTTGATTCAGCCATTCCACAATGTACATATATCACAAAAAATGTTGTGTGTGATAAATATATACAATATT